CTTTGGGCTCCTCCATCCTGGGATCGGGGACTGGCTCAGGGACTGATCACCTGAGCATTTCAGGGGATGCTTGAAGGCCACCCCTCCACGTGGCTGTCCCCACCAGCACTGGGCACCAGCGTGTCACTACTGTCACTTCCTCCCAGGCTGTCCCCAGCACACGTGCTCACAGCGTGGTGTGGCAGGGACTCTCCTCCCCGCTCCCCAGTGCGAGGCAGAGGGTGAGCAGATGCCCTGGCTGGTGCAGCAGGTTTGGAGCCATCCTGGCTGAGGGTCTGGCAGAGCCCTGGGCACTAGGCAGCCCTTCACCAAGCAATGGGAAGGGTGTTGGGGCTGTGCATCACCATATGACAGCACGTGGGTGCCCTGCACACTGCTGTGCCCACTGTGTGTGGGTCCAGATATCCCTGGGGCAGCACGTCCTCATCTCAGGGGCTGAGCAAAGGGCAGCTGTGGGAGTGACCATCAGGTTCAGGTCCAAGATTACACTGGACCATGGAAATCCACAGACAGGGCTGGGAAGGGCTCCCAAGATCCAGGCCTCCATCCCGAGGGGTGATGGCAGCCAGCACAGCCATGTGGCCTCACTGATGCCCCCCTCGCCCTGCAGCTCCTGGGGACAGCTGCACATCCCCAGTCCTCAGGGCTCAGCCTGGCCTGGACATCCTTAATTGCCCAAAGGTTGCTGTCCCCAGGCCTGGGGCCACGTGTCGGAGTGACCCCGGGCAGGAACCTGACACGGACACGAGTCATTCGGGATCAACGCTGGGGGCCAGGAAATTGCAACGGACACGAACCTAAATACACTGCACGTCCCCCCAGGTAATCAGGGGCCGGGCCAGATTCCAGCTGACAGCTTAAATGCCTTAATTCCTTGGCCGCTGTGGTTCGAGGGGGTCCCGTGTGCCGTGGGCTTCTCCCAAACGGCCTCTGAGCTGGAGATTTGTCTGTAATTGGAGGCGTGTTGCATTCCCCTGAAAGTAGCCAGGTCCCGCTGGAGGGGGGCTGCGGGAAGGCAGCAATTTCCCTTATGGAATTATTTACCTGATTAGAGAGTTTATTTTATCAAAATTGCTTCAGAATGGGGCTGCTCAGTGTGTCCAGCGTGGGGAGCTCCCCGATGGGGCTGGCGACCTGGAGACAGGTAATTTGTGTGGTTAATGGGACTAATCCACCAGGCAATTACACCAATAGACTTCACGGCTGCAAAGTGCTCTGTTCCCATTAATTAAAAATCTGTTAAGAAGATTAGCACGTAAAGGCATCAAAAGAAACCCACGAGTTTCTTTCCCCACCAGCCCTCAAAGGCGAGTGTGGGAGTGCTGGATTGCTCACATTAGCACAAAAATTATTCTTTTAAAGGTAAGGGCTTCGAATCCAAAGTAACCGCTGACAGTTTCCCCTGACTTCTCTACCAAGAGGTCCTTTATCTTTAATTACAGTTTGTTTAAATTGGGCCTGATTGTTCATGTGGAGTGTTAGCTTAAATATATTTGGAACGCGTGGTTCCCCTGTGTGTGGCAGTGCAGTGAGAGGAGGGCAGCCCCCAGCTCAGCCCTGTGCCCTGGTAGATGCCCCCACTCTGGGCTGGTGCTCAGGACTGCTCAGGAGCAGATGGGGGTCCGGGGGAGTCCAAATTCAGCATCCCACGGTTGAGGTGGTCACAGCAGAGCAGGAGCAGGGATGGCAGTGCCAACATTGGTATCACCATTGGCGGGGGCTCACCCACCAAACCAGGCTCTGCAGTGGGCGCTGGGCTGGGTGGGCACTTCCCTGGTGTGGTGAGGAGCCAAGGCCTCTCCAGCAGCTTCCCTGTGGCATAAGTCCCATGCCAGCACCACTTGCACCCCGCTCCCATCCCCACGATGCTGCTGCCGGCCAGCCCGGCTCTGCTCGGCTCAGCGGCCGGGGCCGCCCCTGGGCTTTGTCCACAGCCAGACTCACAGCAAAACAAAAGCAAATTCCCCGGCAGCTGAAGGTGCCATTTTTACGGCTGGGCTGAACGAGGAAGTATTTTTTGATCTCTTAAAAATCCTGAATATTATCTGACAGTTTATCTTGTTTCTCGCATCCGTGTCTTTGCAGCAACGCCAGCTCATTTACATGTGTATTGCGCCTGCCTCCACGGGTGCTGAGGTCAATTGAAACTCAAGAAAAGAGGAGAAATTTATGCAAAACTGTTGATTGCATTTGTATGTAATGAAATCATCCAATATTCATCTGACTATAGACTCTAATCTGAAAGGAGAAGTGAAGGACATAAGAGTCACTGGAAAGCAATAATGAGCTTCTGTAGTGATTAAAAAAGCACTTGAGCTTTCTGAAAATCCAGCCAGAAATCGTGTCTAATCAACACGGAATATAGGAGGCAGAGATTACATTGATACATTTTGCAAAGCTCACTGTTGAAAATGTATGCGCGCTGTAAACTCTGACATGCCATCCAGGGTCTGTTGGATACAAATCCGGGCGGCACAATCAGCGCCCGGCTCGTCCCTGGCACAAAGCAATCTTGGTGTCTCTGCTCGATGACTCACAAGGAGCGCAATCACATCTATTTTGAAGAGCAATGTTGTTTTTTAACTATGTCGAGAGCTTCCAGCTTCCTTGGAGTTTTTCCTTCCCTTTGCCTGCGTTTTGAGTGTCCCCGCGGCCGCCCAGTCCAGGAGCTGGCAGGAGGCTGGTGCCTGCCCTGGTCCCTGTCCAGCAGCTCGGAGCAGACTGGAACATCCTGGTGGTGCCGAGCGTGGCTGTGGCAGCCTGGGGAGGCTGCAGTCTCTCCTGAGCAGGGATGTGCACAGGAATGTACCCCTTGTGCTGGGAGTGTGACCCCCCAGGGACCCCCACCCTTCCAGGCCATGGCAGCACCCACCAGGTGGGAACACAACAGTGCCTCATGTCAACAGATGCTGTTGGGAGAGGGCTCCTGGTGAGGACAGAGAGGTGTGGACAGCCCAGGGCAGAGCGTGAGGGGCCTGGCCATGGCCTTCCCTCACCCCCTGTCCTGCACCACCCACGGCATTTGTGGCCGAGGCCAAACCATGTGGTGGCCGGTGTGGCATCACTGACACAGACCCACATTACACCAGCCCAGCTGCTTTCTGGCCCATGTCCCTACCCCTCCTGGGTTATTTGGCACAGCTGGAGCTCCTTCCCACTCGCCAACAGCATCAGCTGCAGCTCCTTATCAGCTCTGGGTGCAATCCAGGCTGGAACCAAGTGAGAGGTTCCTGCTGGTGCTGCTGGAGGAGTGTTTGGAGCAGGCAGACCTTGTGCTGCAGCTCCTGGTGTTTGGAGCAGCAGGTGATTTACACTGTGAAGGGAAAGTGGGACCTGTCCAGAGCTGCCCTGTGAACGAGCTGGTGGTGAGTGCCCATCCTCTCTTCTCCTGGGTGGTGCTGCTGTGGTCCTGCGTGGTTGGAAGGTGCTGGGGCTGTGGCTGGTGCTTTTTTCTGCTTGTCCTGTAGTGCAAGGTTCCGTGGGGAGCAAGGATGGGCTGGGGGGGGCACAGCTCCCTGGGCTCAAGTGTTGCTTGCCCTGCTTTGGTGGTACCAGGGCTGAGAGCAGCATCTGTGGGTGCTGTGGCTGCTCCTTGCTGATGCAGAGCACAGGGCTGAGGTGGGGATGCAAATAAATGGGCTCCCCAGCCATTCAGGCAGCTCCATCCCCAGCCCAGTGCTGGAGCAGTTTTACCACAGGTTTTATTTCCTGTGAGGTGCAGTGAGATGCTACAGGGTGAGGAAGAGCAGTAAATATTTGGGAAATTCCTCTGTACAGTGACCCCCTGAAGCTCCAGTGCCTGCCTCCATCAGCCCATCACCACCCTTCAAGGGCCTGGAGAATGGGAAGAGGCTGGAGAAACACCCGTGGGCAGGAGCACCTGCCCTGGCTTTGTGGAGCTCCCAGCTCAGCAGCTGCTGCTCCCAGGCAGGTATCAGGAAGACCCTTCAGGGCCAGGCTGCTGCAGGGATGCTGAGGCTGCAACAATGGCAAAAGAAGCCCAGTTGATAAATGTCAAAAGAAATCCAGTAATCGGCTGAAAGCAATTTCCCGAGCCGAGGAACCGCCCTGGGCTCGCCATCTTCCTTTATTCATTTATCACGGTAAGGGCTTCGGCCAAAATACACAAAGCAGAGAAATTGTTGACATGTGGGGCCCTAGCAGAGCAAATCCTTCATCCTCCTCCCCCTCCCTGCGGCACACAAACTCACTTTTTGGGAGTTGTTTATTTAAGGAGTGCAGAGCACTCGGCGCTCTTTGAACCCGAATGCCTTGGGAGCAGGGCTGGGGGGCTGCCACCACCTTCCTGCTCCTGCCATCACCAAGGCCGTTTGCTGCCATCAGGAAATACCTGCTGGCAGCGAGGAGCTGAGCTGTGTGATGTGCTCAGGACCTTGTCCTGCTTCTACCTCCTCCAAGCCCACAGATGTGGTGCTAGTGGCTCGCACAGGTCCTCTGTAACTGGTCAGAGGGGCCAGATACCGGTTTTGGGAAGTTCCTGTGTTGGCTTTTGGTCTTCTCGGTCCTGGCTAAAGCAGCTGTGCTGACAGCACTGGTTTCAATTCTCTGCCTTGGGCACCACAGAGCCCCTGCCCACCCTGCACAGCCAGTGCTGAGCTCCCTCACCCCTTCCCAGTGGAGCAACCGCTTCCTCTGGGACACTGGAACCCAAGAGAACACACCAACCAGGAACTGGCTGTTGCAAGGATGATCATCAACATCTCATTTTGACTTTTTTTCAAGAAAAAATAAGTTCTGAGGTTTGCAGCAGGTTCCCCCTGCACGTGTTCCTAGCTCCTGCTGGGCTGGTGGTGTAGGAGCACAAAATGGGGTGTGAGGTGAGCAGGGCAGTACTTCCTCCTGCGCTTCCCCGGGAGCCCTTCCAGCCGCCTCCAGTCCTCCTTCCAGCTGTTTTCTTTCTCATTTCACCCAATTCTGTTCCCACCTGGATGAACAGCGAGCCGAGCTCCACCCTCCCTACAGCACTCGCAAGGTGGGCAATGAGAGCAGCCAAGGCACAGATCTGCTCATCCCTGAGGCTGCTGCCTCCAGGCAGGGATGATTGCTGGGGCACGTGGCCGTCCATTCCTTGCCAGGGGGCCGTGTGTCCATTGGGATGGTGTTTATCCAAGCAGTTCCTTGGTCTTTGCTGCCAGCAGCTTGTCCATCTCAGCGACAGCCTCATCTGCCATTTGCTGGATCTGTGGCAAGACAATACAAGTCAGAGTCCTGTGTGAGGGGATGCCAGAGTTTAGAGGGAAAGGAGTGACTTCAGGGCAGGGCAGAGACCTGCTGGTGCTGGCACCAGAGAAGAGAGGGCTGTTCCCTCCTGCAGCACTATCAGAACACACAGGTAACAGCAGGAGCCTTAGTACGTGCCAGGAATACACACACCCAGTAACCATCTGTTTGTTTCTCGTAAAAAGAAATAAAATGGTGGTTGTCCAAGCCCTGCCCAGGGATCAGCTCTCCTGGTAACATGGGATGGACACGGCAAGAATGTAAAAGGGATCGAAATTTGCAGGCCCTTGAGTAAGAGCAGGTAAAGGCTGGAGCACAATGGGGGGTATGCACTGGTTTCACAGGTTTAAGTTCTGCTTGCTCCCAAGGTCTAATGATGACCTTTCCTCATGAGGAAAAATTTGGGTACAAGAAAAAATTCCACTGGAGATGTTACCTCTACCAATGCAGAAAACCATCTGTCTGCTCTGGGAGAGCTGCTTCCCAACAGGATTTGGTTACAATGGCATGGCCATTTTTCCTGCTTGCACAAACACTCTGGATATCGATGTTTATTTTTGTGAGCACACAGAGAACTGTCCCAGAGCATTTGCAATGCATCTAACTTTAGCTGTTAATAAACAAACAGCTAAGAAGTAATGGCCTGCCTTCAGAGGCATCAATTCAGCAGAACACTTAGGCTTGTGCCTGAGTTTATGCCCAAGTAATTGACTTTAGTGACATCTGCTCTTAGGGAATTAGGCATGTGCTTAAGTATTTTCCTGAATTGGAGCCAAAAACTCTGGACAGAGATAATCTTGCTAGCCTTTTCATTAATAACAACTGAAACAATCCTCATTAACACCCGCTGTGTGCAGTGGCACTGGGTGAGTGGTGGTACAGGCATGGACGTGGATTGTTTTGCTCCCCAAATTCAGCTGGTTTGTGCAACAATCCCTCGTAGTGCAAAAGCTTTTGGGGAATGTTTTTTCCCCTGTGTCAGCTTACCATGGTTCATATCATAAATTTGGCTTTGAGATTGAAGTCCCCAGTCTCACAAAGCAAAAGCAAATACAACAGCCATTGACCAACTCCAAAAACAGCCCGTTCCCCCGCTGGGTTCTCAGTGATGGAGATTTGTCAGCAAGGGCTGGGACAAACACACCATTGAGCTCTGAGACACCAAGATATGGCAGAAGGGAAGAAAATTACCTGCTTTTCTAGCAGATAGATGGTATCTTCTGACACTTTGCTCTTGGACTTCTTCACCTGGCTGATGCTTTTGCTTCGCACCTTTCTCAGGGCCTCTTTGGACTTGTTGGTGGCCTGCTTGGCCAGCTTGGCCAGGTTCTCCCTGTGCTCCCTGGTGACCCTAGAAACACAGGGAGAGGAAAAACACCAAAAGAAAAACAGTGTCATGTGTGGTAAAGCCAGATTTATTTTCTGTGATGGACTTTGGGTAAATGAGTGATCCTCTCTGAATGGTGAGGCCCTGGCCAGGGACACCCAAAAGCTGCTGGTGTTAGACAGACCTTGCTCTGTTTGGAGGCCCTGTGTATCACAGAGCAGAGGGACTGAACAACTCAGGGCACGTTTTTATTCTGCTTTGGTCCACCTGGAAAAAACAGCCACCTCTGCACAGCATCCCCAGGGCAGCAAGTCTTGAGCCTAGAATGAAAAATTTCCAGCCTGGCCCTAAGCTGGGGAACTTGGACTGAATCTTACTTGGTTTATAGTTGTTGCTGCAGTGACTGAAAGTCATGCTGAAATGTTCAGACTTTCCTTATTTCCTGCTGCCAAAGCATTCTGTGGGAAAGAGGAAAAATCCAGCTCCAGACTTGAAAGATGGAACTGAAAAGTGTCATCCTGAAAAGCATAATCCTGCAAAGCTGGGAGAAAACCTTAGTTCCTGAAACTCAGATTTGTCTTCCTGCAACTGAAAAGCCTGAATTAAGGACTGGGAAGCTACAGAGTTTATCTTTCACTCAACTTTATTCCAGCTCACCATGACCAGGATTTCCCACCAAGATGACGTGAACACCTGGTTGGACAAGAGGATGCTGCTGGACGTGGTCAGCCACAGGTAACTTGGCCCACCTTCAGCTCCACCTTCCCCCTGACATGGGGCCAGTTATTGCTGTGGTGCCACAAGAAAATCCTGAATTTTCCATTCCAAACTGAAAACCGCAGGTGGTGAGAGGGTCTGACCATCAAGAAGTCTCAGGAATGGCTGGGGTGTCCCCTCAGCTCTGGTAATGCCCCAGCACCTACAGCTGATCACTGTCAACTGCTAGTGCTTAACAATAATATTTTAATAATTTTCACAGCTATTGGAGTTTCCAGGCTGCCTGGAGAGAGAAAAACCCCAGTGCTCTCGCTGAGACTTGCTAGCTCAAGGGAGATATTGCAAAATAAACATTTCACAGGAGTATTTAGAAATTGGCTGTAGCAGCCTGGGTCACCAAAACACTGGGGCTAAGACTTTTCCTGCAGAGAGCTCAGGAAATGTGGGGTGGGGGTGCCTGGGCTCTGCCCCACAGTGGGTGTGTGTTATGGGCAGGCTGTGGGGGCACAGTGGGTCAGCAGGTCCCTTCCCTGCAGGCAGGTCTCTCCCAGCAGATGTCTGCAGAGGCACTGGCCTCTTGCCAGCCATCTCTATTTCATGGTGCCAGAGGGAACAGGCTTCCCAGAACCAGTTAGAAATTACAGGAATTTGGGATGGCTAGGAAAGCTGGCAGACCCAGAGAGCAGCATCCCAGCCCTGGCACCCAGGGCACCCTGGTGCCTGTCCCCTCCCTGGGAGATGGCCAGGGAATGTCACACAGAATCAAAGAATATCCTGAGTTGGAAGGGACCCACAAGGACCATCAGTTCAACCCCTGACCCTGCCCAGGACAACCCAACGATCCCCCCTGTCCTTGAGAGCATTGTCTAAACACTCCTGGAGCTCTGGCAGCCTTGGTGCTGTGCCCACTGCCCTGGGGAGCCTGGTCAGTGCCCAACCACCCTCTGGGGGAAGAACCTTTTCCTGAGATCCAACCTAACTCATCACATGTGGCAGGAGGCTCCCGGTCAGCACAGGCTGAGGAGCGAGCAGGGATCCTTGTGATCCTCGTGGTTTCCCTGCATCCCAACATCGGTGCCTCCAGGGCTTCTCGTGTTCGACCTCCCTGGCCAGAGCTCCTGCAGCACATTTGGAACCACCAAAGCCGGCTCACAGGCAAAGGTCCCCGTGAGGTCAGATTCTCAGGCAGCTTTTGGGGGGTGGGCTGAGCAGTCAATCCTGGCTGCTCAGCTTGGAGGGGGGAGCTGGAAATCTCTCCCATCTCCTGCTGGGTGGCGGGGGAGCCGCTCAGCGCTGGGAGCCGAGCGCGGCTTTCGCGAGCTGAGCTGAGCTGAGCTGAGCCGAGGGTATCACTCGCCTGCCTGGGGCTGCCGAGCCTTGAAGGAAATGTTTTTGTTTATGCAGCGCTGCCAGATTTCCTCTGCTTCTTGGCACGGGGTCACAGCTTTCATGCCTCCTTGTCTGTCTTTATTAACACCAATTTCTTTTTATCACCGTGCAGTGCCGGGGAGTTTCTCAGTGGGTTTTATGTTCCAGCCAGACTGTGTGTAAATTCTCAGCAATGCTACCAACAATGCCAGAAGTGGACGCTTTTCCAAGCAGATGCTGTTTCTGGTTAAGGAATCCATCAACACGAGCCAGGCCCATGGTTTCTAAGGACAGTTGTTTAATCCTGCCCCTAGATGTGGGACTTTTAAGCTGCTCTTAGGTATGTTTTCTTTTCTGTCTATAAGCCAATCCCCACTAGTAATCCCTACCCCCACTAAAAGCTAAAAAAAAGTGTGAAGTGAACTTGGGGAAGGGGTGCCAGAGTGGGAAATGAGGACAAGGTCCCCATCTGTCACCTCTGATGCCCTTCCTGCAGCTCACAGAGCAGCGGGCTCAATTCCTGCTGTTCCCCCAGGGACCAGGACAAAGCCTGGTGAATGACATGTCAGGGGGGGTCACAACACACACCATCCCACGAGTAACATCTTTTTTTCTGCCTCCCCCAGCTCCAGTGGTTCAAGCCCTGCAGCCCTCGGCAGAGCAGACCCACAGCGAGCTCGACAGGGCTCGTCTCAACGCAAGACGTTTATCCGGGTAAGAGCAATTTCTGTATCTCAAACACGAGGAATTTCCTGTGAAGGAGAGGGATCAGTTAAAGCAAAGCAGGCTTAACTAAACACTCTGCATTCATAATTGCAGATAAACACAGGGTGCAGCATTTATTGCTCAATAAAAAGCAAGTGACAGACTCCTGACGATGAGCGAGTGCAGCTCGGAGCAGCCTTGGTGTGTTTTCAAGTGAGATTTTTTGTGTCCTTTCTCCCCATAATAGGTATCTTTGCATATTTCTTAAAGGGTAAAGGGAAAAAAAAGCTCACAATGAGTCATTAAACTTTCAAATGAGTCATCTGGCTTTCAGTAAAACATGTGTAAAAATATTACCGATTTACAAACAATATCCAGTGTAACACAATGGGTCCAAAAAAGATGAATCTAAAAATGAGGCAATACCATAAAAGACACAAGGTCAGGTCAAATTCGGCCAAGAGATCAACCAATACAAACGTTCCCATGGCTGGTTCCTTTTTTTATTTTTATTTTTAAACCCCTGGAGGCTACTTTTTATACAAATAAATATTGCCTATGCAGCGTTAGCCACAGAAACAGGCGAATGCCTCGGGGAGCAGAGGGATCCTGGCAGGCAGCAGAAGTAAACACCAACCACACGAGTGTATTTTTTCTGCTGAAACGGCAGTGCAAAACCTAAACTAACAGAATAAATACTGAGAAGCAAACTCCACTTTTAAATGCTCAGCTGAAACACTCTGGAGCACAGCTGGACCTGCACAAGGCAAAATACGACACACGTGTGTCCAGCTGACAGGTCAGAGTGAGAAGTGGTTTTAATGACAGGTAAGGACAATTTGGGTTTGGTTTTATTTTTAGTGCGACTTCTTTTCATGGAAGAACCAATTTCTGCAGAAATAATATTAATATCTCTTAATTTTGGATGTGTTTGCTCAGTTTCCATATCAGATGTAATTTTGGCAATTTTATTGCATCTGTCTGTCATATATCCTCTCATAAACTGTTGGAAATAATGAAAAACCTAGAAAATTTTAAAAAGCAATTCAGGGATATAGTATTAAAGAGAGGCCTCTTGCAGAATTTGATTGTTTCTGGCCCCCTCTTTGCAACAGGGGGTTTTAAAAGGCTGGAACTGTCTGCTTGTCTTTTCAGTAAGTGGATGAAACTCCCAAAGACCCAGTCATGTAACTGGAGACCAAAAGGGACTAGAGGTGCCAGTGAGGGCAGACCCACAGGACACAGCTCCCAAAAAACCTTAACTCAGGACTTCCCAGGCTCCCAGGCAGCCAGGAAGTGACCAGGAGCTGCAACCCTGACACACCAGAGGAACACTGGAGTACACCAGGCAGAGCTTCCCTGGGAAGAGAAGACTTGTTTTCGCTCTGCAGCTCCACAGAAGATGGTGACAGACCATACACATTTGTTTAAAAACACAGTATTTTGTTAAAGCTCCGGATCTGCAGTTTTGGAGTTTCCTCCCCTGCAATTCGTATTCAAGGATGACCCAAGTGCCCATTAACAATCAAACCACTGTGCAGCAACCCGGGAGCCTCAGCAATTATGAAGATAATGGTGCCCTCCTCCTCCTCTGCCTCCTCTCCTGAGGAATGGGGGAAGGGCAGGGAGCACGGGGAAAGAAAATCAGCAAATAGAATGATAATGTCATTGCCTCTCACCGACTGCAACGGAAAGCTGCAATTAGACTTCTCTGATGAAAATGCCGGGTAAAATTCCATAGAATTTTTTTAAAGGAGATCTAAAGCATAAGAAATACCTGGTTCATCTTTACCAAGAAGTCACCTGCTTGTGCAAGGGGTTTGTGCACTCCCTGCATGAGAGCTGTTTGTCTTTACCCCAGGGTGTGAGTTCATCTACAGCCACACCTGCCCAGAGTATTTGGATGTTCCATAAGGTCTGAGCACCCACAGGAACCCGTGAGCTTTCCTTGTGCCACCCAACCCTGGTGCCCATGTGACAGGCACTGTCTGTGCCAGCGAGTGGAGCTGCTGGGAGCCCGAATTTCACCTGAAAGGACCCCCATTCCCAGGCAGAGCCCAGCATGCTGCAGTCCAAAGCACACTAAGGGATCATCAGGATGGCTTCTCCTGATCACAAACTGAAGCACGGATGCAGTGGCACCTCCTGCCTTGTCCAAGGGCTGGGAGACACCTGTGATGGGTGAGGGAAGCAATGCTCATGCCTTGGCCAGGGGCAGCCTGCTTTTCCATCAGCCCCACACCAAAACTTCCATGCAGCCATCAGTTACACAATGTGTATTAGATGAGAAGAGGGAGCAGATTTTTCAGTCAAAGCTATAAATTTCCTGCCTCTCCCTTTCACCACTTCCTTTTAGTGCTCTCTGCACCAAGGTGCTACTCATCCCTAATACTACTGGTTCACTAAATTCACTCCTGCCTTACTGCTGCTCTTTGCTGGTGTAATTCTGGGAATTTAGAGCAGGGCACTAAAGAATCAGCTCCTGAGTTAAAGCAATACAGGTTCAAAAGCCTCTGGCTCTCCTGCAAAGTGCTGCAGCCAGCAAGGACCAAGATTTCTCTGCATGGGGAGGATGAAGAACAAAACCAACCACCAGCTGCCAAGATGTGATGACTTAGAGCTCAGGCACTTGGAAGAGGTTCCACCAGACACTTTCAGAGGCTCAGATTTTTTTCCAGACCTGAACTTACAGCTATTTGGAAAGCAGCTGCATCAGGATATTCAGCAGTCGTGCACGTTTACCCTCTGAAGGGCACTCACTGCAACCTACTGTGTTGTCTTGTGTGGTGATGAGCTCGGGCAGTGATACTCACTTAGGAACTGGCACCCGAATCATCGTCCCGTCCACCTCGGGGTTCAGGTTCATGCCACTCTCCCTTATAGCCTTCATAGCTGCAGCTGTGCTCTGTAAAGCAGATCAAAAGGTAAAAGGGAATTAGGAAATAATCATTCCCATATGCCAGAACTCTGTCAATAGTTGGCAATCCATCTCCATGGAACATGGAAACATTTACTTCTGTTACCAGTAAGATCAGGAAGTTACATTGGTGCAGAGAGCTTTGATCAAACCGAATGGGAAACTACGGCCGCTCGTATCGGGGTAGGGGGGCAGCAGGGGGGGAGAGGGGAAGGCAGGCAGGCAACAACAAAAGAAAACTGTTTTGTTTCTTTGAAACTATTCGAATGGTTTGAGGCAACGCAGAGTGAAACCGCAATAAATTCCCAAGGCAGAGCCTGACTGTGGCGAAGGAGATGAAAGATTCTGAGCATTTAAAAATTCCAGCTGAATGTTTCCCACTAGAAATCAGCCAGTGCCAACTCTGAAACGTTAACAAACTTAACCACTTCAGCACTACAACCTGACCACAGGACATCGGGGCGGCAGCAGATGGCTGAGAAACAGCGCCCGTGCCCAGCTCCGTGTTTATTTTACAGCTCATTACTGAGGATTAACTTCTCAAAACTCCCCTGCCACTGGCTGATGCTCTGCTCTGCTTAAAAGGTGGGGTGGCAGGTTTTCCTGGTGACTGCAAGGTGATTAAAAGGCTTCACCTCCATCCCAGGGCACGGGTTGTGCCTCTAGAGAGTGCCAGGCAGAGTTAAAGCAGAGTTTGGCCCGGAGCTCCTGTGAGGCTCTGCCAGGTCGTTTTGTTCTTGACATTGCCAAGCCCAAGGAGTTTGTGTTCCTGTGGCACTTGTGTGGTGTTTCCTACCAGGCACGATGCTATTTCTGATCCTCTTTGCCATCATTAACTTCAGCTCCAGGCTGCTGCAGTGTTTATGTCATTCAAACCGTATTTGTGAAGCTCAGCTTTTGTCATCTGAGGCACAAACTAAAGCTCTGCAGATTTGTTCAGGTCCCTGACACGTGACATCACTGAACCTAATGAATGCTCTGCTGGTGTTCTGTAAGAGACAACTGCTGTCCTCTGAAACTACAAGGGCAGAGAAAACGCAACCAAAATGATCTCAGCACACTAGGAATAAAAAGGGACGGTGGAAAGAAATGCTCAGTAAAAACTGTGTTGTTTAACACAGATATTGGAGGAGATGGAAGGAGGGGAAAATATTGTAATATTGCTCTTGCAGCCTATGAAAAAAAAAATACCTAAAAAACCAGCATCTTGTTCAGTTTTATAAATCTTGGGCAAACAGACTTTGGCCCTGCAAGCCCTTTTCTATGATTGTTTTATTTCTCACTCTTCGGGCACTTTTATTTTCTTCTCAATGTCATGAAGTACTGATGACATGCTGTAAATGATGACATCAAGTAATCGTGTCTGTAATGGTTTTAAAGAGTTCAGTCTATCACAGAACAGTTATGGTATAAGGCAACTGTACTGAGAGAAATAGTTCTAGTCCAAGTGACAAGTGGTCCTTTGGCTCAGAAAGCAAATGCAGGCAATGCTATACAGAGGATATTTAATTTCTCACATGCCCATTTCTCAGCCTGAGGTCCTGTTTGACACGGGGTAAGTCATGGAGTGCCTTCCCCGGCCCTCTCAGCGCCGGCTCTGCAGGACCTCGGCGCACTCGCTGATGAGGGGCCTCTGTTCTCCAGAGCCTTTGTACACTTTAAGAAACACTTAGGCATCAAGTGCCTTACACTGACCTCCTCTGAGACTTTGCTGACTTAATTAATAGGGGAAAGCCTTTGCAAAATAAATAGAGATAAGCCCTGGCAAACCTCCAGACGTGGGGTGAGATGAATCGCTGACCCTGCGCTGGCTCCTGGTCCCATTGCCCGGCTCTGCCTGTGGGAGCTGCAGGGCACCCCAAGGGCTTGATCCCCAGGTGGGATTTGCACTGCTGCCTCATTTAGGGGCAAGTCTAAGGCTCCTGCAGAAAATTAAGGGAACTTGTCTCTCACAGAAGATAACTTAAAGCACCTCATTTGTGTCCTGACCAGCAGACACTGCCTAAGGAGGAGCTCACCAACCTCAGCAGTGCCCAGCTCGAGCTCTGTGACACTGAGCACAGCTCAGTCCCACCAGGGAGGCTCCTCAGAAGCTCACAAGCTCCATCAGCAGCTTCTCCCATGAGCTGTCAGAGGTGTCCCCAGCCCTGGTGGTAAGTAAGCAAGTTCCAGATGATGGTGATGGTGTGTCCAGCACAAATTCCAGCTACATGGCTGGTTCTGTGCCTGGCCACGTCTTCACAAGGAACTGAATTAACACAACAGGGCAGGCACAGTGTCAGAGACATGTCTGTCACTCAGGTGAGTGTGTGTGTGGGCTCAGGACTGCTGGGTGCCATAAATACATGGCAAAGGGGGAGGGCTGGCAGGGCACAGGGAATCTTGCCTGTGACTTAGTGTTGCTCTGCAGATCCACCTGACAGGAAAGCACTCCCCAGAGCAAACCCCTTGCAGTGTGGCACTCACTGGATACAGCCCTGAGAGCAATCCCAGCATGGAACTCTCCTGTGACCCCTCACAGCTGCAGGTGAGCTGCTCTGTGAGCCAGGCAGGGCTGGGGAATCACTGTCAGCAGCAAAATACCCCTTCTGTTCTGTGTCAGCACAAAGTGACACAGCCCAGCCGGAGCTCCTAGCCCTGCCACATTTGACTGATTTTGTCTAAGTGTTCCTTTGCTCAGCATCAACCTGTTTGTTCCCCTGGTAATTATCCCTTTCCACTGCCTTCAGTCACGTGTCCTTCCTTACCTCTGGAAAACTGGTCATGTTCACTATCATGAGCTGTGGTGATTTCTGTGAGATTTGCCCCAGCTGGTTCAGTGGAAACTTCCCATCTTTGGTCACCACAGTTATGTGATCCAGGGCCCCTCAAAAGAACCAAACACAGGCACTTTCAGTATGATACAGCAGTTTGCAGCAGTGCTGAAGAAAAATGCGTCTGCAGTGTCCCACTTCCCTCCTGCTTTGCAAAATATAGATGTTACAAAGGAAAAAAAACATGTTTATTCAGACTTCAGGTGCTGTTTGTGTTCAGGCATCCCCTGTGCATTCACAAGCTAAATATTTCAAAGCTGCTCTAAAGCACAAAAACATGAAAACAAAACTCGTGTTTGTTTTTGCTACTAGAATAGGAAAACTAAGCAGGATTGTTAAGAATGAAAAGGAAATAATTATTTTTTAATCCTTAGTATTTAAAGAAAATAAAAACGTGGCTGTAAAAATCAAGAAAAATATTGTCTTTAACTTAGCAGTGCTCTCTTAAACCTCTCTTTTTTTTCCCCCAGGTCCCCAGAGGGGTGTTGTACACTGCCTAATTTAAGGTATTCAGTTTCTCCCTGAGCTACTCTTAATCTGCTCTCTAGTTTCTGCTGCAAAATGTTAACAGGCCAAAAGGCACATGGGACAGGAGGTACTTTATCAGTGGAATTAAAAAAAATACCTATGGTTAAAATAAATAGTTAAGAGACCAAGCTACGCTTTCCAACTCCATTAAAGACAGAAGTGCCCCTGCCAGAGCTGGGGTGGTGAATGATTCAAATTTGGTCATTGTTTAATGTTAAATTTTATCCCTGAAACTTGATACACTCACAAATGCGTGGGTTCAGAGCGTTATAGTAACTGTGGCTTAGTCAAATATATTCACATTTCTTCCTAAAGCACAAAATCCACTAAGTGAACGAGGCTTGTACAGGTCACTGCCCACAAAGACGCACAGCAAAAAAAAGTTTGTATATGCCAGACACCAGCCTGATGGCAATTTCCAAAAGGCTAATTTGATGGCAATTGGATTTTTCCTGCCCTACTGCACCATTAGCTGACAACCTGCTTCTCCATCACATCTGCAAACAGTTCAGTTAGAGACTTTTGACATCTCCCACTTACAAAAGCTATTTCCAGGAAGCTATTAGCCAAAATGGATTCTTCCTGGTCAAGCTCAGGGTGAAGAAAGCCTTTAGCTGGGATGTCAAGGCTGCAGCAACTGGGTGCCCCGTGAATAACTCCAGAAAAAGAAAATCAACTTTGAAAAAATCAGAGTTCTCCGTTACTGGGATTTGTACCCTTATTTACGGGCCACAGAGCACCACACAAAGAAGTTACCAACCTGGTGAGGTTCTAACACTGATGTTCCTGCTGAAATCTTCTTTCAGAGCTTCTATGACTGCCTGCATGTCCTCATTGGTTTCCTCCAAATTGATAATATCCTCAACTAGGGCAGCACTGATATTCACTTTGGCTTGGCTCTGCCCTTTACCTTTAGCTGCAGATTGCACAAAAAGAAAAAAATTAATTTCTATTTGTGACAACAGTTAGTTGCTGCATTAGAAAGTAGACTCAATTCAGAACTGAGTCTAAGATAATCCAAAGTAACTGTACTTTTTAATGATTAAAAAGCCCAGTACTTGAGCACATGTGCCAAAATATATACATATATATTATATATATGAGAGAGGGGTTGCAAAACCAGGAAAAAGCTGCTGTTTTTACCCTTTTTGGTAGCAAGCTGTCTGCTCAGCAGCACCTGATGGCCACACTGCCTGCAGCCCTCCAGGAGCAGGGCATGGCAGCCCATAGGAGCCCCTGGCAGCCCCCTGGTCAGCAGGAAGGACGAACGGTGCAGCAGGGACGGGAGAGGACGGAGCCACCTCAGTGCCAGAGCCATCATCCCAGCTCCTCTCTGACCCACCTGGAAGAGAGAAAGGCAGGGGGGCTACTGGGCCTGCTAAAAACAACCTGATTTAGGGCTTAGTGGTACTCATGGGCACAAGGTGACAGCTCAGCGACGTGGGCACTGGGTCCGGGCATCTGCAGTGGAAAGGGCTCGGTGGCTGCCAGGTATCGGTGTGGGCTCTGCACATCTGTGCAGACGGACACGGGCCTCTGGCACAAACCCCGCGGCTGCTGGAGCAGCTCGTACAGTACCGGGTGTGGGCTGAAACTTCTGCCACACGAGGTCTGACACCCCGCGGCTCCCCCGCACTCACGGGGTTTATTTATTCCGGCTGCCCGGGGCTGCGGGGCGTTCCTGCAGCCGCGCCAACACCGACGGGGCTCGGTGCCCGCGGGGCGGTGGCGGCCACCGGAGGGACGGGCCCTCGGTGCGCTCCGGCTCCCTGGACCCTGCTCCCCCCGATCCCGGCGCGGGGGTCCCGGGAATGCCGACCCCGCTCCCGCTCCCTGCACGTGCGCGCAGGACACGCCCCCTCGGGCCCCGCCCCTCCACATGACCCCGCCCCTGGGGACGCGCCCCGCCCCGCGCCTGGCCCCGCCCACGTCTGTCCCGCTCCTTGGGACGCGCCGGCCCGACCCGGCCCGGCCGCCCCCCGGGGCCCTGCGGAAGGCTGGGCTGGGAACCGAGGATCGATGGGGGAGCGGGGATCAACCGGGGGCCGATGGGCAACCGGGGGCGGCGGAGGGGAGAAGGAGGGCGGGCGCCGCCGCCTCGCTCACCGTCGCGCGGCCCTGCGCGTCCCGGCCGACGTCATCGGCGTGCGCGCGTGACGTCATAGAGCGGCGCCAAGGGCGGGGTGAGGCCTGCGCGGCCCCGCGGCGGCGGCGAGAGCGGGACGGGCCTGGCGCTCGCACCGATCCCGGACAGACCCCCGCGGCCATGGAGCCGGGCCGCCAGGCGCTACCCCTCGAGAACGCCTCCATCCTGTCCGAGGGCGCGCTGCAGGACGGGCACCGCCTCTGGATCGGCAATCTCGACCCCAAGATCACCGAGTGAGTCACCGCCCCCCGGTGCCCCCAGGGACGGGACCGTGTCCCCCCGCCAGCAGCGCAGCGCCCCGGGCCACGTGTGCGCTGCCTGGCCCTGCCCTGCCCTGCCCTGCCCAGCCCTGCAGCCCCCGGGGCTCAGCCCCAGCAGTGCCGTGCCCCGGTGCCAGCGGCTCTGCGGGGCGTGGGGCTCGTCCCCCCCGGTTTGGGTGCCCCGGGAGGCAGCACAGGCTGGTACAGCACCCCCAGCTCCTGCCTGTGCCCCCTGTAAGGGGTGACAGCCGCCCACTGGAGCGGTCCCCGAGTCCCCCGGCACTGAGGAGCAGCCCGTGGGGGGGGGATGTATCTGAAGTGTCTCCAGAGGGGCTCAGAGGCAGGTCCTTAACCCCTGCAAACAGCACCCCCCGAGGCACTGCTCGGGCTGGGAGCCCAGGGGATGAAAATATCCTTGTTCTCTAAACTGGGGAAGCGGTGGAATATCATGTTAGAGACTTTCAGGGTGACAGTGGCCAAACAACGGTAAAACAGGACACAGCCCTGGAAATCATAACCCGGAGTGGTTGGGGTTTGTTGGGAAATGAGGGTGGGCAGAGGAGATCTCATATGCCCTGGATCACACAGGGGCCTGGTTTTGTTTTGTTGGATGTGGGCTGAGCAGAGGAGAGTTTCTGAGTGACGAGGTGGGAGTGGTGTGGCTGCTGTGCTGGGTAACTGCACAAACCAAACACATGGCTCTGCAGTTTGTTTTCCCCAGGCTACAGATAATTATCTCCTGAGGAAACACAACATTTGAACAGCTAAATTGTCAAGGGAATGTAATGTGCTGTCCAATATTTGGATGGTGTGCTGAGAAATCAGTAGGTTGTATTAAAAAGAAAAAAAAGACACAAACCAAAACAATTTGGGGTTTACACACTCCTGAGAAACAAGCATTTTTGATTAACTATTGTGTGTGTCTGTCATGGAATACTTTTCCTTCCTGGTCCTTTTTGTGTGTGTGCAGGTGCTGGGGTTTTATTCTGAGTGTGGTTCATCTGAGCAGAGCAGTTCCCTAATAGCCCCTAAATGGGATCATTAATGCATTGTGCTGTTCAGCCATTCAGCTCTGGGAGGTTTCTGCATTAATTACCATTTTTATCCCACTCCCAGCTCCATTACTCTGGTTTGTCCACATTCACTGACCATGTAAAATTAGATACAGGAATTCCTGAGGGTGTTGTTTGCTGGGTCCTCAAGGATTCAGGAGCTGGTTTGGTGTGAGGGTAGGAGCAGTGGGTGTAAGTGCATTGGGCCCTTCACTTCCCAGGGTGATCCAGGTTGTTCCTCTGAATTTCAGCCAGACAAGTGATAGTTTTATATGGCAAAATTCACTGTTTTCATCACCTGGCTGAAGTGAGTTTGGTGGTTTGATTCCCCAGGGTCCTCGAACCTTGAGTGCTTCCAGGCTCCTAAATGTTTCAAGTTTGCCTGGTGATGAGTGACAGTGCTTGTTGCTTATTTCAGGCTTTATAACCCTGCTTTTGGTTTTGCTTTAAAAACGGGTTTTCTCTCCTGAAAAATGTATTATATCTCCATTTCCTTGTGAATAAAAGAGGAGGAGGTTCCTTTTAACACGTTGGCAGTGTAGAGAGAAACTGTGTGGTCCTATATGAGGTCAGTAAGTTTCTGTAAGTCATCTTGCCCTTTATGCTGAGGGTTTGCATCTCTGCTCATAGCTGCTCATCTCAGTTACCCTTGTTGAGGTTACTGCTCACATGACTGAATCACACCCCTGAAAAATAAACGGCTGTTTCCTCGTTTGCTGCTTTTATCTGTTTTTTAAGAGAGTAGCCTTTTTTATTTCTGTGCTGGGTTTGCTTAGGACTGAGTAAGGTTGGTTGAGTTGTTGGCAGAGTTTAATAAGTGGTTTTGACACTCTCAAGCAGAAATGAGTTCAGAAAGTCTTGAACCAATCCAAGGCTTCCATTTAAAGAGCAAACTGTAGCTGCAGTCAAGTGCAGGGGAGTTAAAAGGTAAGGTACACGTTGGAGCACAAGCTGCAGGAACAGGAATTTATAGATGTAGGGCTGCCCACAAATGGGGGCTACCCACAAAACCTGATGGGTTTTGGGGGGTTATTTGGGGGGTTATTGGATGACTGTGACTCAGCTGGGAGTGCTGACATACCCTGAGCACTGGGTTAGGGTGGGTCTCCTGGTGGGCATTGCTCCTTGCTGGTGATGTTTGTGGGTGACTTCTTTTATCCAGCATCCTTAAAGGACTGCCTGCCTGTGGAAGGAGATGGTATTAGGAGTCTCCTGGGAGTGTTCTTAGCAGCTGGAAGGAGGTGAGCTGACACCAGGGGACCTCACAGCTGTTTGTGACATAGGACTTCTGGTGCTGAATAATAATCCCTGTGGGGTCTGCCAGGGCAGAGTGATCCCTGCTGTGGGGTCTGCCAGGGCAGAGTGATCCCTGCTGTGGGATCTGCCAGGGCAGAGCACGAGGAGAGCAGCAGGTGGTTGGTTCTGGTTGGGTGTCCTGAGGAAGGAAACCATAGATCCCCCTCACCATCGCTGGGGGCACTGCCTGGTGCAGTGTTTGTCCCCCAGCTGCACAGCAGGGCAGGGGATGTGCTGTGGCTCAGCTCTTTGATCCCATTACCCCTTAATGCTCCCATCCCATGGGGCAAAACACGTAGTTTAGTTACGTCTCTGTGTGGCAAGTGGGGCAGAAGTGCCTCCTCTGCCCATTCCTGTTTGCAAAGCCCTCTGAGACTTCACAGCGTTTGGGACAGGCAGGGATTTCGTTTTCAGCTCTCTGGTCACACACACCTATTATCTAGTTTCCCGTAGCCTTTGAATGACCATTCATTTGCCACGGGGGGGTGAAATAGCGGGTGTTCGACTTCCTCGGGCCGCTGTGCTGCTTGTCGAGGATCCCATCTTGATGAGTCTCACCTAGAAAACAATGTGTGCACAAGTTGTTGTTGCAGCCCCCCGCCGGGTCCCAGTGGGGCAGAATTCCTCGCAATAATGGCTTTCGCATGTGGCCCGGTCCCCGCGCGGGCTCCTCGGGACAGCATTGTTCGGAGGAAGCCTTGCCTGCGTCTGAATAGCGCTGGGGGTGCCAGGAGGAAGAGAGGAGGAAAGGGAAATGGGGGAGCTGCTGGTTTGTGTCGCATCCATATCAGATGACAGGAAGTGGGGATGGAGGGTGGCCGCGGGATCTGCGGGGGGCCACGGCTGTGCCAGCACCCCCCGGCTCTGCACAGCCCACGGGGTTGCCATAGCAAAGCTTTTTGAGTGGTCTCCCTTCTTTTTTTATTAAGGCTTCGGGTTTTCCGTGGCTGGTCTTCCTTCAGTACTGAAGTCCTGGAGAACTGCTTGTCAAGTTACTGTTAATGCCCTCAATATTTCAGCAATGCAAATCATAGTCACAACCTGAAACATTTAGTTGTACAAGACCTCTGAGCTGTTCCGTGGAGAGTAGGTGACCTGCAGTTGTAGAATTGCAATTGCAAATTGCATTTGCATCCTCTTCAATCTAAATAAAATAGATGACATAAGTTGCTTCTAGACTCTTAATGAAGTTTGTTTTCAAGGAGCAACTACCACCTCGCTGCTAAGAAAGTGTTATTTGAATGCAGAGATTCTCAGAAGAAAACGAACCACGAAGAGTTCCTTTTGGCAGGACAGCTGCAGGGTTTTGTTGGTGCTAAAGAGAACACAGGGAGAATCCTCCTTGCCCTTCCCCTGCCTCTGTAATGGCCAGAAGGGGAACAGCATTCTGGTGATAGGGACTTTATTTCCATCCCGCTGAAATTCCAAGGGCTTTTTTCAGCAGTATTTTTACAGAAGCTGGGTAACCATCTCCTTTATTTTTTCCTGCTCTTTTCTGTCCCCCTTGCCTTCTGAGCACAGACTGAGGGTTCCTAGGCTTCTTGGAAGACCATGCACTTCATGTGTATTCCGAAGGATGTAGGAAGCCTCCCATAAGCAGTTCCAATGTGTGTGCTCCCGTGGGAGACAGCCCTGCCCTCCCGTGCTGCTCGTCTGTGCACACGCTGCACCTTCACCTCTTTAAAAGTGCACATCCTGAATGTCCACCGAGAGCCATCCTGTGGGATGACTCACATTCCTGGAACTTTCTTGCCTGGCTCCTGAAGCTTAACAAAGGGCTAAAGCCCTTTTCAGGCATCCTATCAGGCTTTATTAGGAAAAATGCTGTCTGCCCTTCCCATCTGGACTGTCCCTGGAGTTGCCTGGTGCACTTGGCTGGCTTGGGCCACTACTGAGCATTCGTGTCTGGACATGGGAGGTTTCATCCAGTGCCTGGTGCTCCACGGGCACTTGGTGTTATCCTGGTAGGCTTTCAGAGCACTGAGTGTTACCTTAAACACTGAAAATTGGGCTTAGACTACTTGGCTGTCTAACAAAGACTGTACAACTCTTGGGAGATGAGTCCTGACTAAGACACCCTTAATAAACAATTAAATAACTCTTAAATGCCAGGGATGGGGTCAGACAGTGAAGTAGCAACTTTCCTCCCGGGTCAGCCAGTGTTGTTAAACACTTCAGTCCCAAGGAACCAAAAAAGCTGCAAAGAACTTTCAGGATCAGATGTGGCCGAAACAACAAATGTGCTCCTTGTTTTAAATTGCTCCATGCACTAGATACTAAGCAGACAGATTTACCCTGGCTTTCCCCAGTTTTATTGGAAACAGCACACAATCCCCACTGGATGGCAGGAAGATAATTGGCTAAAAAAGTGTCTGACTTCCATGAGCCTGTCACTGAAAAGCTGTCTGAGCCAGAAGCACTGGCAGATTTAGCCTGGATGATAGTGAGGGCTGTCTGGTGCCCTTTTTTTTTTTTTTTTTAGATGTACTGGCAATTCCTGGTTTGTTCTGTTTATTCTTCTGTCTTCCTGCTTCCCCAGCTCTGCCAGGCGAGTGTGGCTGCCTGTCTGTGTGCCCTGGCCATGTCCTTGCCAGTGCACTGGTACTCCTTGGCACAGGGAAGGGAT